AACCCTTACGTCATGTAGAGGCAGACACTGTAGTTAAGAGTATCTAAGATCTGCCCTAGCTGGTTTGGCTCAGTGGATAGAGCGTCGGCCTCCAGACTGAAGGGTCCGAGGAGCATGTACCTTGTTTTCGGGCACATCCCCAATAAGAGGTGTGCAGGAGGCAGCTGATCAATGTTTCTCTCTCATCGATGTTTCTATCTCTCTATCCCGCTCCCTTCCTCTCTGTAAAAAAATCAATAAAATATATATATATTTTTTAAAAGAGTATCTAAGATCTAGATAGTATAATAATGCTAGCTGTTGTCACAAACAACTTCTAAACTTTGGCTTAATAGAATGAAGATTTATTTTCCACATCATAGTTCCATGAGGATTGAAAATATGAGGCACCTGTACAGGGAAATTTTTTTCCCCTCTATCCATCTTAGTTTCATTGGGTGAGACCCTACAAAATTGAGAAAAGACAGGTTAATAGGTGAAAAACAAACCGAAGTTTATTCACGTGTGCATCCTTCATATACACTCAGGGATGGGGGGATGTGGCTAGCGATGAGCAAAGAGGTAGGAAGGATGCATGCTGTCAAAATGTCATTAAGAGTTGTCTGTGGGGTCCACATGGCTGTGGGCCCTGTGGGTGAGGGCAAGGGACCCGAGGGTGAGGCCCCTGCAATAAGAGCCCCAAGAGCAAAAGAGAGACAAGAGCTACAAGAGAGGGAACTCCTTTGTTTAAGCGGTTAAGTACCTCACATCTTCCTGCTCTGGCCAATGACCTGTTCCCAGGTATGACTGACAGACAAGCACCTTCCCTATCTCACCCAGACCTCACTGGGCATGTGTCTGTTCTCCCCTGTCCAGTCCATTCCTCAGTGGGGACAAACCAGTGGCTTCCTGGCGAGGGTTAAACCACAGCTTCCTGGCAAAACTGTACAAATGGCAAGTCGCTAACCTTTGACCTTCTCTTTGCTCCTTTCCAGTTATTAACAACTGGGCTAAATTATCACGGAATCAGTAAAAGTCAATATTTACTTGAGAAACAGAGCAATAGAGTTTCCTTACAGGAACAATTATGATTGCAGTTTTTGTTGGGAGTTGAGTGAGGGGGACCTGATGGAGAGAGGGGACAGTGTTCATTTTGTGGTTGTTGTATTTCAGATGTTGTATTAAGCGCTGGCTCTTACTTCCTCTTTTAACACTTAAACATACAGTAGATGACAATACTTTAATTTTCTTTCTTTCTTGATTGATTATAATTTTATTTAAAACATTTTTATTAATATTTAGAGAGAGGAAGGGAGAGAGAGAAACATCAATCAGTCGCCTTCCACACATGCACCAAAAGCGGATCAAAGTCACAACTTCAGGTATGTGCCCTGACCGGGAATCGAATCTGCCACTTTTTGTGTACAGGATGATGCTCCTCCCGCCCAACCAGGGTAACAATATTTTTATTTTCAACATGAGAAAACCATTACTTGAAAAGTAAATAACCTTTATCATGTTTGGGAAGCAGGATAATCCTGGACTAAGAGACTGAAAAGGCTGGTCTCTATTTCTTAAGATGAATCTCAAATCTAGTTGAGGTCAATCTGCTACTGATTCATCCCTTATCCTGAGAAAACTAATTGTAAGAACACTGATGTAATAATAATAATAATAATAATAATAAAGTTAAATAAATAAGTATGCAGCCAAATGGCTTGACACATAAATTTTCCTTATTTCCCTTCCTTCTAATTGTCTTTCATCACTTTCTTTCTCCCTCTTCTTCTCTTCTTTCCCTCCTTGAGGAAAAAAAAACCTTTGTACTTAATCATAATACTCTGTAAGCACCAAGGGAAAATTTGACTGAGCTATAACTTTTCCAAGTGTCTAGATCTCTGATATTCCTTTGGGTCTCTCTCCCTTGATGGTGAAGCTGAAGCAGTACGTGATGTGGGCTCTTCACAGTGTTTTAGGGAGTCAGGATTTATGCCCATGAAACAAATAGCCACAGGTAAATGATATAATGCTAAATTTAATGCAAGCAAACATCCTTTAGTCCAAATAATAATTTCCCTGACCAGTGAGGAAGCAGAAAGATAAACTCTACTTACCAGTTCAGTTCAGGGAACTGGAACTGCCAGGCAAAGGCATTCATTCTGGGAAATGAGCTGCTTCTGCCAAAGAATGAGAAAGGCTATTTTGACACCACTCATGTACATGGTCTCTGCTTGAGCCCATGGTCTCATTTGTGTACCACACTTGTAAATAAGATGAATTATCATGTTAAGTAGATTCTGGATACTATAGAGAACATATTCATTTCCAAAGAGCTTTCTTAAAATAAAATCCTCTGAGTTCTTGAGATCGTAAATTTTCTTCCTC